AGCGCCATGTCTCTCTTGTCCTGGGGAGCCCAGAACTGGACACAGTACTCCAGGCGTGGGCTCACCAGGGCTGAGGAGAGGGGCAGGATCACTTCCCTCCACCTGCTGGCAACACTCTGCCTAATACACCCCAGGATCCCATTGGCCTTCCTGGCCACAAGGGCACATTGCTGGCTCATGCTCTTAACTTCTTGTCCACCAGGACTCCCAGGTCCTTCTCTGCAGAGCTGCTTTCCAGCAGGTCAGTCCCCAGCCTGTACCGCTGCATGGGGTTACGCCTCCGTAGGTGCAGGACCCTGCACTTGCCTTTGCTGAACTTCACGAGGTTCCTCTCCGTCCAGCTCTCCAGCCTGTCCAGGTCCCTCTGAAGGGCAGCACAGCCTTCTGGTGTGTCAGCCACTCCCCCCAGTTTTGTATCGTCAGTAAACTTGCTGAGAGTACTCTCTGTCCCTTCCTCCAGGTCGTTGATGAATACATTGAACAAAACTGGACCCAGGACTGACCTCTGGGGGACACTGCTAGCTACAGGCCTCCACCTAGACTCCGCACCACTGACCACAGCCCTCTCAGCTCTGCCGCCTAGCCAGGTCTCAATCCATGCTTCAGCTTTGTCTGGCTTCAAGTCAGAGTGGTCTTTTCAGTCTCTCACTGTTCCTCTTAACCATTCTCTTTTCCAGTCCAGGTTAATTTGGTTCAGGGAAGCAAAGGGAGAACAAGGCACTGAAAACTGCAGCTTCTAATCTCTCGCTTGGTATGAACCCGGAGTGTGCCTCAAGTAGGAATTGTGTGCTCTGCCAGGGTGTCTGCCTGTACGACGCAGGGATATCTTCCAGGGCTATCTGGATCGCTGTTGCAGCAGCAGGCGTCCCAAAGCCGAGGTCCTTCAGCGCTGCCCATGTTAGAAGGGCTGATATTTTCCAGTCTTGCCTTATACTGGACGATGTCCCTCCACACAGCTTTTCTCCGCTTCCTCCTAATCAGGAACCCTCCAGGAAACACAGCAGAGGCTGAGATAGTGTTAGTTTGTTATTTTTACACCCCTAGGTAGACAAGCAGGTAGCCAGTACTGTGGGCTACATAGCACACAAGATTATTACCTGTTCAGCCTTGCTGCTCGGAGGGACCAAGGCTAATGCTCAGGAGGAATTTGGTACTAGCTGAAGTTTTAAAAGTGGCACAGTGCTACCAGCCATTCCCCACATCTCCAGAGCCGTATAATCCTGCTACCTGACTGGGGAAGTGCGGGAGTGAGCAGGAGGACACACGTGCTACTTTCCCCTCAAACAGGGATGTGCACATTCCCCCAACAACAAGCCCCTTCCAAAAGTAGCAGAGCCTGGAGGTTTTATGTAAATAAATCTTCCTTGTTTAAAGTCAGTGCAGAGAGACAGATATAATAAGAGGTGATGCACTGCAGTTTCCTCGGCTGGCAGATATTAGCTCTGAAGTTGAGGTCAGATTCAATCAGCTGAGTAGGCAAAGGCGGAAACAACAGCGGGCTGGAAACGCTGCTTTCATTCAATTACGCTGATTGCACACACACACACACACAAATAAGGTGAATTGCTTTTGATTTTTATCAAGGAGAAATACTGAGTAGAATCCAAGGGCCACTGTACCCTTGCAGTCACTATGAAATATTAAAGCTCTGAACTGCCATCATTAACAGCTGGAAAGTGCCTTTGCCTCATACTGGAAAATGGCCCCATAGGGTGACAAAACTGCAGGTAGTGCAGGACAACACCATCTGTCATCACTGTCCATTTCCTATAACTTGCTTAAAGATATTCATGTGACAATCCAAATTTCTTCCCCCCACCCCCACCCCCGTTTTTTTTTTTTTAATAGTGCAGGGGAAAAATCTATGGAGTTAAGTTTTCAGGTTAACTTCAAACTGTCACCTGATTTCTTTCCTGAATAAAAGTTCTCCTTTTCCCTGATACACACATTGCTCCAGAAGGAAAGTGAAACTTGCATTAGGAAGGCACAGAAGAGGAGAGGAAAAAAATGTGAGCGAACCCTTTTACACAATCACTGAATCAAATAATGAATCAATTTTCCCAGTAAACAAGCATTGTCTCAGACCGTATCATTTTGCCCAATACTTTTTAGCTGCTCAGGCATACCCTTTGCTCATGTTTACATTTAAGAAGTCTCTTTGTATAGCCCCTGTCCAGGAGACTTCTTTTAGACCCTAGTCAGGGGACTCTTCCCCTGACACCAGCTACGTGAGAGAGATATACGAGCTCTTACCTGGCGCTGCCTGACTCCATCAAGACCCCTGTTGCAAACCATGGGGCTGCGTGCGGAGGAAGGCACCTGCTAGCACAAATACGTGCTGCCAAATTTGATTTTTGAGGCAGAGATTGCCGTTAGAGGGATGCAACAATGGTTGAGGCAACAAGCCTGATTCTGGTTATGGTGTCAAGCATCAGGCTCTCCAAGAGCCAAACGGGGAGCAGCTGCAGGAGCAGGAGGCTGTGCCCCGGGGAGACCATGCTTTGCTGCTTGCCTCTTTCACTGAACAGCTGCATATCCCCGAGAAACACCTTCAGCAACTTTACCCTTTGCCCAATTTTACCTTTTAAATCATAAACTCCACGGATCAGGGACTATCCTGACTAAAGAGTGTAATGGGCACCGTATCTAGCACACGGGGGGGTGGGAGGACTACCTCTGTCGCAAGGCCCAGGCGCTGCCGTATAAATGGTAACCTTTCTCCCCACAAACATAGGTAGTTTGAAAATATAATTAACGTTATAAAATGAAACATTCAGAATTTAACACCACCACCCACAATCCACGTTATCTGGGCCATGCTAATTCAATTTCTTTCTACATCTGCATATGATGCATTATGATTAGAACAGAGTGAAACAGCTAAAACATTTGTTGACAAAAAAAAAAATGGAGATTCAGCACCACTGAAACATTTGGTGACTTCCTCTGTTCCATTCCATTTCTTGCATGAAGGAAAAGCACCAAACAAAGAAAAAGATTGTTCCGAACATTTTTCAAAGGAACATCTCACTTTCTGACCAAACTTTTCAAGTAGAATTGCCTCTCTGACTGACCTTTAAAAGAGACCAGCGACAGAAAATACTTTTGTTTAGCCTAAAACAGCACTTCTCTTCCATTTTTCAAAATTACGGGTGAGTAAAAAGACCTCTTAACTGCAGAGCTGTTATGATATAACCTCTAATTGCATGATCACATAGTGGTTTGCCTACAAAGCTTCTGCCGTATTCGGTACTACTACCCCCACCTCTAGTAATGCCTGAAGTTCTACAGGCAAAATCTCAGTTACAAATTGCATTACGTGTTTCAATGGACATAAAATGAGGTCCTGGGGTTGAAAACATGGCCTGTAGCAGTTCACATCTAATGGGAAATTGCAACGACTGCACAGTTTTAGGTAATTAGGAAGAGCGATACTTAAAATGCTGTCTTGGTATTCCTGATCTGTTTCCTCCTGCAGGCACTCCCTATCAAATTGGCTCACTTTACAAGTCAAAACAAGTTGTTTCTGACTGTCACCACTGAGTACTGCTATCTGCTTTATACATTACCACCACATATGAAGACTCCAAACTCTGAACGTAATTGGTAATTCTCTTGACAACGTACAAGGTAAAATAGAAGCAGCATGTTGCTCAACTGCTGTGTTGGATCTGGAACAACAACAGCAGTTGTAATTGCTGTCTGCCATTTGAGTAACCAGATACTAGATGACTCGGAAGATAGAAGCTCAGCAATTAATAGGACTAAGTTGCCATTTTTGTCACAGGTACATTTCTAGCCAAATTTTTTATCGTCAGAGGGATCCAGTGGTGGTTAGTGAGAAGACTATGGACATAGGTTAAATTGGTCAGACTCTGTAAGCAGGATGTACCTTCACTTGCTTTCTGGGAAACATATTCTGGTATGAAACAGTCTTCCCTAGGGAAATTACAGGTAACTTTTCACCTAGGTAGACAAACCCCTCTAAAACAGACTGTAAAGACAATCTTGCAATTGGCATGGCAGCAGAGTGCATAGTAAGTTGGATCTATTCCTAGTGTCACTAGTTCTGTGGGACAAACCCAGAGGTGGTGAACGTCTGAGACCCTTTCCCGGCAACACAGGCTCTTTCACACCTCTGTGGGTTGAACTCAGATGGATATGAGGAAAACTAAATGCAAAGACTAGGTCAGAGCGCTAGAGAAGGATCGAGCATAGCTACCTGCCTTATACAGAGATTTTGAGCCCATGACCCAGTGGAACTGTACCCAGACCTGGACTCTAGAGCTTTAGTAAACTAACAGACTCAGGAGCTGACAGACCAACGGGCTCGCTACGTCTAATAAAAGAGAATGCATCAGTCATAGCCAATGCAAACCCATATAGACCTACAGCCATGGGTAAAGCCACATGAGTCGCCATAGTGGAAGGCCAGAATCTGCATGTTTACCAAAAGCAAGAAAGAAAACCTCAGCATAGTTGATTTAGGTCACTGCTTGCTTCAGACAAACCAAAATTGAGGAATGTATTCATTTTCAGAGCAGAGGAGAGGCAGGGAACTGATTTAAAGGGACAGTTTGTGAGCCCCAGGACTCAGAGAGAAAAATGTGGAATAAAAAGGCTCTGCAAAGGTCCAGAGTTTGGTTAGCTCCTGCCCAAGAGTTCGAGGCGTGCAGTAAACGGTGGCTTTCTCCCACGAGCTGCTTGTAAACCTCACGGCCTCCTGAAGCATTTTACAGCACCGCCCTCCCTTCTGCCCTGGCCTGCAATGGGGAATCGATCCAGAACACATGGAGGGAAGCGCTGTAAAGAGATTTTCTTCCCTCCATGTATCTCCTCGCAAGAGTCCCTCCTTGCAGTGTCGTGCTTCCAAGTGCTTGAGCTCTACTTCCCTACTTCAACCCAGGTCCCATCCCCAGAGGCAAAGGCTTTTACAACCTGAAAGTCAGCACTCCCCTTCAGAGGCAGCACTATGAAACACCATAGCTGGCATAACTCACAGTTGGCCTCTTCCACTGTATACGCCACAGCTTGTCCTCTGGGAGTAGGTTGGGACCAATGGAGCTGACATGAGCTGGGAAGGTGGCATCCTCAAACAGCAGGCCTTGGCTCAGACACGAGGCTCGCAGGAGGCTGAAGTCCTGATTATTAAATTTCTTCAGATTCTGGAGGCTTCCAGCTGCCCCCGTTGTTTGCCAGTCTTGCCCTAACCTCCTAGAAGATTTGGGGGAGAGCATTGTGCCCCTTTTCTGCGAAGGAGAGAAGACAGGGACTGCCGTTAATTACCAGCTCCGAGGCAGCACGCTGGGAACGCATGGAGAAAGCAGACACCCCCCCCCCCCCCCCCCCCGCCAGCCACGCCGGCAGCAGCATGCAAGGCTGAGGCCAGTAACAGTGACAAAATCCTTATTAGCTGGAAATGCCTGGGGAAAATGGAGTAGTCAAATCCCAACTGGTTTATCTTAAACCAGTGCTGTCACTGCTACAAATTCAATTTTGAGTCTTCCCTGAGGACAGAGAGAACAAAGCTGTTAGAGAGACAAGATGCTGCTGTTGAGGGACATATGCGATGTAACAGAGCATGGGCTGTGGGATGGAGCGGGAGCTGCAAACACAAGGGAGGGGAGGAAGATGGTACCAGCACGTAGGCTGCCCACGTGTACTGATGATTCTTCTGCCCGTGGACTGCACTTGTGCCTAGGGAGTTATCTTTGGAGTTATTTACTGTATTCTGCTTGCCCAGGCAACAAGTGAGCACTTGCCAGTCACTCCCTGTGAGAACTGCACAAGTCAGAGACCAGCCTGCTGTTGTCTTTCCTCCAGACCTGCTCCAAAGGCCCTGGACACATTTGTGGGTGGGCACCTGCCAGCATGAACCAGACTTGCTAGGAGCTACAGGGCTGAGATGGAACTAAGCTGTAACACCCAGGCATATATCTGATGTGCACTGCTCGCAGACGTGAGTGTGCTCCAGAATCTAGGCTTTTTGGACTCGGTAGTTCAGCTGGGGCCAATATTTAAACAGATCTGAATTGTAGGCATATCTAAACTGGGGAGATATTGTCTGGCATCTGTAGGAATTCCAGTCTGGAGCGTGTTTGGTCCCACCTTTGTTAGATGTGTTTGTTTAAAGGCAAGAGGAGACTCGCATAGGAAAAATGAACATTTCATATACAAACAGTGAAAATCTGGTCTGGTCAGATGTACTGATACAGCTACGGGCACAGCTAGGGAAAAATCTGAGTGATAACATCTCCTGTTTTGGACTTTCTCCCTTTACAGTCACCAAAGACCGCAGCAGGACTCTTGCCATAAAAGATCTGCTTTCTTTCCAAAGGGAGGCAATGCATTTCAAATGGAGATACTGAACTGTGGGGTGGGAGAGCTTTGGGGACAGAGTGAGAGAAGGGCACAGGTAGGGGTAGGCAAAAAAGACTTGCACATTCAAGGGTCAGGGGAGCCAGGGTTTTTAAAGAGCAATTTGTTCTGTCTGTACAAAATACAGGTTTTGACATGCACTCATCTTGTGCCCTTCCCAGAGCTGCATGGCTCAACAGAGACAGACACACATATGTGCTCCGTCTCCTGGGGATCGTCCTTTAGCTAAAAACACTGCTGTAGATTTCAGAATTTAGAGAAGTACCATCAGGGGTTGATCTGCCTCTGGGTTCCTCCAGCACATCTGGCCATGCAAAATGACACAGTCCCCTGGGTACATCCCTCTCAAAAATAAAAAGACAACTGTCCTGACCTTTAATTCCAGTCTTGTCCCTTTCTGTAAGGAAGCCCTTGGTAGAGTCTTGCGTTAGCAGATTTTTAAGGTCAAAAGGGAACACTGTGATCCCTCCTCTGGCTTCCAGCTTGGCATAAGCCACTGCGCTAGATCCAGCAATTCATGCATCTAGCTCCTGGCTTCCACTTAAGCTGTATCTTATCAGCTTGCAGTGGAAAATCCACCGCATGCCTTGGGTAAGCCATTCCTACAGCTAGGTACCTTCACTGTGCTAATTCTAACCTGAACTTACTCAGTTTCAGCTTCAAGCCACTGGATACCATCTTTTTTTTAGTAGGTGAATGGGTTCTTTACTACCAAGCAAACATATCTGTGCACCTGACATATTCCTGGTGCTGTATAAAGAGAGCAAGCAATTCCAATAAGAGCTACACCTCAGATTTTTGCTGTGAACCTTTCACACATGTGTGAAAAACACAGGCTTGGCCTCACTGAAGCAGTGATACAGCTCCCTCATTTTTTACTTAGAGTCATTGCGTTTCCCGGTCCTTGAAGTCACTTGGCCTTTTGGCACTGTCCTCTCAGGACTGGTAACAACAGCCTGGAAAGACAAGGAGTTTTGTGTCTTACTGTTTTAATTAAAAGCCCCACAAAAAATCAGAAGTCACCCTCGGCCAACAAGAAGAGAGAACATTCCCTTTGGGCTTGCGTTTTTTAATACAATGGAAATAAATCTTATGTAATGTACCATAACACGACAAGGGAATGGCTTCTTCTTAACAAATACTCAGTTGAAACTGTGCCCAGGCCCCATGCATGCTAAGATCTATTTCCTGCAACAGTGTTCCAGTAAAACTGATTACTAATTCCACAACTCAAATTAAAACTAACAGAGCTTGAAGGCTGGGGCTGACACGCGTTCCCTCTCTTCTGACAGAGAACAAGAGTTTTTAGCATGTGTGTGTGCGTGTTTAATTACGTTGTATAATATATCCGGAATAATTTAGCAACCAGAGTGAAGAAAATAATACACTTAACTACTTTTCCCTTGCAGGAATAACTTTATCAGCATTGCAGGCGCCGTATCTGGGCGCGCACATGCACGGATGCACAAGCTTTATCTCTATCTGTAGTCACCGAGCTCACGGAGCAGCGCACACCAGGTTCACCCCAGCTGGACCCGGCACAGTCTGCAGGCCCTCTCCTTTTGGGGCAGCATCCTGAACTCTGGCCACAGCTCTCCTCTGCTTTGCTCTGGTGGATGCATTAGCAACAGCAAAGATCACAACACCTTACAGCGCAGAATATTGCCTGCCTGACTCAGGAGCATCTTACAGTTACCAAATTCTGAGGCAGAAAGAGTGCTTCAAGGGACAAAGTTATAACGGATCGGGTCTCAGACCTTGGACTGATCCCCACCACAGGACATGAGGGAAGAGGGAGGGATTTCAAACACTTAGAAAAGCTAGTTCAGACACATTGCGAAACACTGGCAAAAAACAAGAGTCTGGGCCCCTTCTCCTAAGGAGGGAAATTATTTTTCAGAAGGGGTTGAACACACATTTACTTAATACTGGGAGCTCCTCCAAGATATTTCCTTATCTGCAATTTAAACATGAATCATGCCCAAGTTTGCATCTACTTCCCTCTTCTTTTTGTTTTTTTTGGTCCTTCTCTTCCTTTTCAGAGAACTGCTTGTCACTGCCTCTCAGAGAGGGTCAAACGGCAAAGGGTAAGAGAGGGAAGTGGGTCAAAGAAAAAGAAGAAAAAGAGGTCAGGTGTGACAGCCGGAAGAGACAGACAGGAAGGGTGAGTATCTGAGGATACAGGAGCAGAAAAGTTGGTGAACACCACAGAAACTAGCCTAGGAACCTAGGAACTCACCATTTTCTCCAGTCATAAACAGCTTAAAACCCACTGGCGAAGGGTGCACCTCAGCTCCCTTCAGCATTCATTCACAAAACATGTCACACTGCTATTGCAGTCAGGTACTCAATGATAGTAAATACTGCTAGCTAATCATACTTTGCCTAAAGATTTATGTCAGAGTATAGGCATCATTTCCTTCAATGGCATCTTCTGCTATTTTCCACTGAATACTAGAATGGAAATTAGACAATTAGAAACATTTCCTATTTCATAGCTCAACTGTCCACCTTCTTTTCCACTCCACCAATTTTTCCAAAACATTTCCGTTGTATGCTGGCTCAGTTGTACTTTAGGGAGAACAGTTGAACCTGCCTCAGACACTATGAAGAACTCCGGAAGCGCAGCAGCCGTCCTTTCTCTCTTCCTTCTCAAACACTCAAAAATATCCATGTACATTTAATTTCGTCCAGAATATTCAATACGTGCTACAGTAATGCAAGCCATCTTTCCCTCTAAGACTCTGTCATTTACACTTTCGGAGCATTGTATAAACTTTGAGGGGGTTGGTTTCAGGATGCTCTTATCAGGATTAAGGTTTGAGTTTGTTAACTCTTATTGTAGCCAGAGAAAAACACAAACGACAGCACGCTGTTTTTCAGCAGCTTGCCCACAGCAATAACGTACTGCAGAGACAAAGCAGAAAACTGAACTCAGATGCCCTTAATTCTCTCTCTGGCAGAGGGACAGCAGCATACCTACAATGCCCGAAAGGCTTGAGCCCCTCAGAAAATCAAAACCAAAGCCAGGCACTCTGGCAACCCTCTGAGAGACTACTTTCCAGTGGCATCTAATATGACCTTCTGCTCCAAATAGTCTATAAAGTACTTCCTTCTGGTTGTTTATTAGGGTGATTTCCCCCTCCTTTTTATACACAGCATAGGATAGTTCCAGCTACCTTTTTTCTGCCTCATTTAACAGCAGTGCACAGTAACTGTAGAGTCCTCCCCTTCCAGAATCTCCACTCCCACTTGATCCAATTACTTCTGACAACTTACCGTTTTACTGTAAGGTTCTTTTTAGGATGGCAAATTCATCTTTTCTTTTCCTCCAGGTAATATTAAGGATGGGGAACTCTAATTTATTCTATCTCCCCAAGTCAAATCCCTCTCAATGTGTCCACGGTGCTTTTCCAGCACTATTACTTGTATTTCGCCTGCTTTACCTTGTACTAAGTAAAACAGCAAAGTGATGTTTTACCTGCAACACCTCCGGTGGAACTATCCAGCCAAAACCAATAGACTGACAGAAGTGATAGCATTATCCCGTGTTCCTTTATAGAGCAGCTTTTGCCCCTCCTTTAGTAAACGTAGCCAGGTTGAACTCAAGTTCAAGGCCAAAAAATAAACAATATGACTCAGTCATAGTTTCATGCGGATACTATAGCATATATCATATCTATATGTATATAAACTACTTCTATTATCTGTCTAAGTAAGTTAGTAATTAGTCTCCTGTAGGCTACTGTGGCTTCAGATGGTTGTTCTTATAGGAAAAGCAGGATTTGTTTGTAGCTCCTAAACTTTCACGTTATCTGCTTTCCTCCTCGCAGCTCCAGGAAACGCAAAAATGATACTGGGACCAGGCACAGGCTGGCAGTACTCACCGTGAAGCAAGCAGCTATCAGAGCTGTGTATCATTCTTTCTGCAGCAGCATAGGTAGTAGGTATTTTCAGGCCAACATTTCTTGTTATTTACACTGGGCTCTTATACCAGAACTTGAATTCTGTATCAGTTTACTCACTTGGGTAGGTAGGACTGGCTGAAGAGGCAAGGGTTATCCCTATAATTAGGACATCTAGGAACTGGACCCCATTATCCTAAAGACCAAAGTTAAGGATCTTGCAATTGTGTGGGAAGGGGAGAAGGTTATTTTTTGGGAGGCCAAACTGAGATAGCCTAAAGAAGTGCAATTTCCAGGAGAATGGTATGCAGCACATTCTCTGAGGCACATTCCCTAGAAGCATCTCTAAGTGTATTCCTATATTCTGTGAATGTATACGTGAAGAAAAGGATCTAGTTGTCCCGGTGGACAACAAGCTGAACACAAGCCAGCCATGCACCCTTGCAACAAAGACAGCCAACAGCATCCTGCCCGCAAGAGCTGGAGTGTAGCCAGCAGGTCGAGGGAGGGGATCCTTCCCCTCCACACAGCACTTCTGAGATCACATCTGCTGTACGGTGTCCAGTTTTGGGCTCCCCAGTGTAACAGAGACACTGAGCCTGGAGCACATGGCGTAAGAGGAGAGGCTGAGAGAGCTCTCTGTTCAGCCTGGAGAATGAGGTCTAATTGCAGTTTTCCACTACCTAAAAGGTACAGAGAAAGTGGGGCCATATTCTTCTCAAAGGTGCACAGCAAAAGGGCAAGAGGCAACAGGTACAAGCGGCAGCGAGGCAAATTCCAAGTGGGTGGAGGGAAAAAAATTGTTCTAGGTGGTTCGGCTCTGGGAGGTGGGGGCATTTCCACCCTTGGAGATATTCAGCTGGACAAGACCATGAGCAACCTCACCTAAGTCTGAAATCCTGATGTAAGCATGGGTGGAACTCAATGACCCTTCTAAGGTCCCTTCTCAGAAATTTCTCCATAATTCTGTTTCTGGAGCTGCAGTTCATGCAGCTGCGTCCAGGCTGGCTTTTGGCCACCTGGTCAGCCTACAAACAGGACACAGCGGTAGCAGCACAGAAGTTCAAACTGATTGCAAAGGCAATCACCTGAGGGCCTATATTGTTAGTGCAACCTAAGCACCACGCCACCAAGGTGCCACTGCTGTAAATACGCAAGTTAGTGAGGGTGAATCTAGCTCAGGCTATGGCTGCATAAGCACAGCAGGTGAGGTATTTATCCCAAGAAATGACCCTCTCTTTTTCAAGATACCACAATTTATTCATAAGCAGAAAAGTTGCTCCACAGTGAACGTACATGAAGTTTAGCTTGGGGCTTAACACAGAAAATAGAACCATTGCCTACTTCTTTCATTACCCAAAATGACTATCACCTGGGATCAGAAATGTCTTCAGAACCATACTTTGTACTTGGACTGCAATTTCTTTGAGGTGCGATGCTAGCGCTTTCCAGAGCAGCTGGTCCCCAGGAGCTTGAGGAGAAGAGAACATAAAAATGTTCAGGAAAAAGACAGTTCAGCTTCTTCATCAATGTTTAATTCAGGTCTGCGGGACTCCAGACCTGAATCTTTAAAAGCTGTGCACTGTATCTTGCCTGCTCACATTTTAGGTTTCTCACTTCCACATGAGAACTCAACATTTAGCAAGCTCCAGTGGGAAATGCATCTGCGTAAATTAGAGTAAAACCTGCCCCAGAGAGCAAAACAGGTGCAGTTTTCCTTTAAGAGCTGTTTTTCACTACTGCTACATAAATAAAAGCTGATTGCACCAGAAGCAGGGAGCAAAGATTTCCTTCATTGCAGGAGAGGAGCTCTGGGGTGATAAATGCTGGTGCTGCTAGCTCATCTGACAGCACGTGTGCTGTTAATCGCCTCCTCTCTGGGGAAACGGCAGGTATATTCCCCTCCAGGTATGGTGATTCATTGTCTGGAACTGATATCTCTGCTTAAATGGTGGATTAACATGATTTAAGAAATATTCATTGCAAAGTTGATTAGAAAGCGTCATCACCAACCTGGCAGGAGATTTCAGTTATTGCAGCATGACACCATTTTGTGATTGTCAGCTTTTCTGCAGAAGGCTATACTGATGTGTCCATTTTCACAGTGGCTCCAGAGAACGAAAGCCAGAAAGCAGAGGGATTTACTCACGGTAATGAGCCTTTGGAGTATTTGCTCTCCCCTAAGTGTTTGTGGCACCCCACAAAAGAGGAGGGATATTCGGCTGAAAAGCACAGCGCTTTGCTCTGGCAGAACGGAGTTGTTTTCTGCTCATGGCACCCGGCGAGACTCTGGCAGATGCAACGTTGCCCTGACTCAAGGTCTGCTTTTGAAGAGCAGGGACACGAATCTACGTTTGGGGTAGCTGTGCAGCTTAATCCACTCATGAGCAAAAGATGCTGAGAGATCACTGGAAACCCAGAACTACCTCTACGGTGTCAAATACCACCTCGGGGCTGTTAAATACACAAATAAAAGAGGGCCCCTACACTCACGACCAACAGCAGCTGTGCAATTCTTCCTGCTGTCTAATTCACACCGACACCAAAGGGTAAATAATTTGCTGGGAACCCTTGTTTTCTGAGAAGTTAGCATGACTTTCAAGGTCTCAGCTGGCACCACAGAACTTAACATATTCTGGAATTTAATCCACCCTTGTTCCTCTCCTCCGTGGAATAAAAGTAAACTACACAAAACCAGAGCTTCTTTTAAAATAGATTTTAAAAGAAATATATTTATCTTCCTGATGCCCATCAGCTGTCCCAAGGGCAGAATGCTGTTCCATGAAGCCAACAGCCTCTCCGAAGCAGCAAGTTTTATGTCATCTTTTGGAGGGGGAAAAAGAACAGCGTAACTTTGCCTAAATAATTCTGGAAGCTTTAGCCTTAAGAAAGGCAGCTCTCCTCACTCCACCCATACAGTTTATGTGCTGATGACTGTTACCTTTTTGCAAGATTTCACACATATGCCTAAATTTCTTATTTCCACTGCTTTCTGCCCTTGTAAGGATCCCATTCTTTTAGCAGAGATAGTCCTAATTTACACCGTGGTAAATAAGAGAAATAGGCTGGGAATTTCTCCAGGGTAGTGAACACAGCTACTTTTTGTGTAAAGGAGGAATCTTCCTTCAATAGCCTTCACATTTGCTGCAGTCACTTTGACTGGGTATCCCACTGCTTTTGTATTCTGGCACTAATGGAAAAATGCTATTAAGCCATTTCATTTACTCTTTCATAATTTTCTGTATCGGCCACATGCTGCCATTTATTTGCCTCTCTTAGTCAAGATGCAGGAAGGCTATGAATAATCTTACTCCCAGACAAGCCACTACCTCCTTTGCTCTGATTTCATGAGCTCATGTTTCTGGCAGGACCCACCTTTCTAAAGCACAAACTTTTATGAGCATTTGAACTATTAGGCAAATACCAAAGTCCTACTTCCATATCTGTTTTTACCCAGCCTATGCCCACAAGCCGCCCCTTAGTGCAGATTAACCCAGGGGTTCATCACTTGACCCCGTTCACATGTGAATCGTTTTGCTCATAAATGAGGTACCACTGTTTCTGGAGTGAAATGTGGCAGCTGCTTAACAACACATAATGAATCCACACAGCTAGATCCCATGGCCACCTGAGGGAGGGGGGATTTGGTATGAAAAATATTTCTCTTTGGGGCCATATTTTTTAGGAGAAATATCCACTGGCTTCAGAACTACAGAGAGGATTCTTAAAAACAACGCCAAAACACAGGCAGCGAACACTCATATTAGCACTAGAATTGGTCAGAAATTTCCCAGTGGAATATTTTTGCTTCAGAAAACACCCCTCTATCAAACATGAAAGCCACTAGCGATGAATTTCAACTAAGAGGAGGACACAGCATATATCAATATTGTCACTATATTCCGTTTTGATTTTGGAACGGCCTCATTTTTTTTTGCTTATGAAAAATCCATCGCTCCTGGATCCTCTCCGTGTTTTCCAAAAGGTTTAATGTGTTGCAACGTTTTAAAAAAAAAAAAGATTCCAATGTTATTGCAGTAGCTTACTGTGTTCAACCTGACATTATTTTTCAGAACTTGATTTCATGGGAAATTTTGGACTTTGGGTTTCACTTGAGTGAGGAACAGAATATGAAAGTACGTTGTACTGAAATGTCCACAAAACTGAAAGCTTGGTTTCGCTCTGTGGTAGGTAGCACTGAAATTCTCCACGAAAACAAGCCCATTTCATCATCACGAGTAACACCGAAACTTTTTTTAAAAACAAAAACAAAATAAAAAACAAAAAAAGCAGAGCTGTCACGACATTATCCTTACAAGTAATATGGTCATGGCACTGCTGTTTCGCATTACCAAACTTTGCTAGTAAATATTTAGTAACCAGGACTATGAAGGAGCGCTTTGATATCCTTGCTCTTCTCACCTTGGTGTCCCTCCTCTCCCTCTTCATACAGGGGCATTGAAGATTGTTTCAATGAAACATGGCAAGGGGTGCTTTGTTACAGCCAGTCTTCCGTGGAAGGAATATCAAAATGAAATTCTTGCTTTCATCAGTCTGTTTGCCCTTGTTTAGCAATTCTGCATCCAGCACTTGTTGAAGCTCTGTTGGCACAAAATAATTTATTCCACGCTTCTTTGTTTTGCCTTTGGCTTGGTGTGAACAGTTTGCAGCAGTCTCACCCTTGTTCGTTTCTCTGAATCATTTCTGCAACCCTTTAACGAAGAATTCATGACCTACAGACCGGTAGCTTACGGGAAACGTTTGCAGTTCCCAGACCTCTCCTGAGCCTTTGCTGACAAAGTGCACGGTGCAGCTCCTGCTTCCTCGGCATCGGGTCGTTTGTAACATGCCAGCCAGGACGGGCTGCCAGTCTCCCACTCAGACAGCTAGCTGGTGGTCCTCCTTGCCCGCTCGCCCAGATGACTCACCCAAACACGCTGTCAAGGCACCGCATAGGCTGGTGGCTACCCAGGGCCAGCGTCAGTGAGGGCTGCCCACGGCAGCAGGCCAGGGCCTCACAGCCAGGGCCTGTCACGCCACCCTACAAAGGGTGTACGAAACCCTAATGACACTAACAAACACGTCAGCACGTGTCAACACGGCAAAGAGCAAAGGCGCATGTATTTGCTCTCCTGGCGGCACGCCAGGCTCGCCCAGCTGGCGCGCCGGTGCCCCGCACAAGCCCGCTGCTGCAGCCTCCGTCCTCCTTTCAGAGCCGGTGGGGTTTCTCAGGTTACACACGTGAGCGGGTTCAGATCAGCTCAAATGCTGAATGCTTTTGTCAGGATGAAAGTCTCCTCTTAGAGCTGCATGGCACATTTTAATAATGCCAGTCTGCTCTCCTGGCTCTACTCTGTCAGTACGTGGGAGCAACAAGGATCAGCACTCTATCTGAGGTATTAATTAAATGCCTTAAATAGCTAGATAAGGCATTCACCTAGGGCTCAGTGCGTGTAAGGAGAGCAGGATACCAGTATGGAGAACACCATATGGCCCCTACTGAACATTTCTGATGCCTTTTATAGACGCTTCAACTAACTCTCTTGCCTGCTTACCTATATTTTACAATGGAAAAAGGAAATTCATCACCAATTAACTTTACCAGCCTAACTGTACTATATTTCTCAGCACCTACATCCTCCTCAGGGATGGAGGGGTGGGGACCAAACCCTGTAAAACTTCTGTGATGAAGCACAGGAGGCTATATGTAACAGTCACGAACCAGCATAGAAAAAAGATCAAAATATAAAACAGGAATGTAAAGAGATGAGCAAGTTCTCAGGTGTTTTTACAGAGGATCACTTCTGTCAAAATAATTTCATCCAGTAAAAGAGTGAAAAATGAAAGACAATGCCAAAACATCTGAAGGCGAAGGGAAACATGGCAGGAGAGGACAAGGCCCAGCAGGACTGGCCCCAGGGTACAACATGCTCAGAAATGGTTGTTCTGGGTTGAGACAAGCAAAACCATTGCTGTTCCATGTGGGGAAGCACACAGGAGAGTGAAGAGAGTCTGGAAAATAATGTGATAGTGCCTAATTTGTGTTGCATTTTTAGCTCTAATTTTTTTTGAAATATAAAATGTTAATTTTAATTTGATGAGCTTATTAGAAACCCCTAGACCAAATCACTAACCTCGCTAGACCAGCACAGAGATGAAAGAAGGTTTAAGATGGAGCAAGAGCTAGATGAGAAGCTGTCATATCCCCTACAGCCCACCTGATGAGAAAACTCGTGTCTCTCTGGCTGTCATTTAATTTCCTCCAACTACTCTGATGCTAGTGAGCCATGAAGAGATGAAGAAAGGAAGTGAGCATTGAACAGAGCTCAGCTGAGCAGCGGTCCCTTTTCACTAATGGAAAAGAAAAGGCAACACCACCCTAACAGCTCGCTGGAACGAATCAGGGACCTTCACTCAGCCACAGCCAGCAGTCACAGGTTTGTTCTCTGCCTCCGAGGAGGCGTTTTGTGATTTAGGAACAATCTATGCTGGGAGCACTCTGCATTGCCACGTTATGCTCGCTAGTGTGCCATGTGACCACGGCACAATACTGAATCAAGCTCCTTGTTTACTGCATCTGAGACAAAACTGTATGGGCAGGTACGTGTGCGTGTGACGTACTGAAATGAAGACTAAGCTATTCCTCTCCCACAGCCTGAATTTCAATTGCTGTGCTTGCTTCCTGCATACCGAAACCAAGCCTCAGTAGCCATTAACTGAAAAATCAAACCATAACATGTTTTGACCCAATACATGTTCTGGGGAGTGAGAGGGAACGGTATTGAAGAGGAAACTCTGTGGTGCGTGATGGATCAGATTCCTGGAAGGAAGAATTACCTTCCTCTTCTCCGCTCCCTTTATAACCTCCGACCACAGCACCAGGCATGTTCCTATTAACTGAGGGCTACAGAAAACATTGCGGCATAATACAAGGCAGGCATGAAGATGGGCTTCATGCTGAGTAACTGGGGGGGGGGGGAAGAGAGGAAGAGACCGCCTTGCTAGAAGGTGGAACCTGGAAATGGTAGAGCACGGGTATCTCGCCCTTCAGCTTCTTTGGGGCCGCAGGCTGCTGTTTGTTAAGCCTATACTGTGCCTGGTACAATAAGACTTTGATCCCTGACTGGAGCTTCTAGGAGCTATGTAATCCAAATAGTATTAACGAACAATTACTCCACGTCAAAATGATGACAGATTGAAAACATTTTACTGCATTTTAACATCTGGGCGTATAAAAAGCACAGGGTAGTTGCAGAGCAGTGAATCTTTAATTGTTTTTTATTAACCAAACTGGCTTAATAAATCTCTAGGCGTTTCGTTAATGAGCGCAGTTATTATGCGCTGTGGAAAAGCCAAGTGATTATCTTTAAAAAAAGAAAGTATGTTTCGTAAAGATTTCTATGCTTTTGTTTTCCTCGGGATGCTATCATCAGGCCTGCAACACAGGCCACAGAGCTACGATTCAGATAACCAGCAGCTTTTCTACTTCCCCTCCCTGCAAATACACACGCTTTGCCCTTTTTGCCACCACCGGCAGCGGCAGTTTACAGGTGAGGTTAGACCCCGCTATCTCGTCCAGCCTGGGGCAATAAAGGAAGAGTAGAAAGCGGTAGCTGCTTGTCGCTGCTCAGACCGGCCAATGCGCAAGTCCGTGGCCAGGGCTGTCCCCCACCACGCATCCCCTCGGCTCAGCCTTGGCGTTTTCAAGCTGTGGTTTTTATGTCCCTTTGTGTTCGCTTCCCACAAAACTTAAGGGGGAGGGGGGGAATTTTATGGGTGAAACACTCACGGAAAGACAATCTGAAGCAAAATTGCAAAGCATTTAGTTGGAAAATTAATTCCAATTTCCAACTCAGATAGCCACCTCCAGCCAGCCCGGCGGGACCTGCCCTGCCCCACGGCCTGCAGAGCCACACCAGCGCCGCTGACCACATGGAAAATCACTCCGACTCTGAGTCCTGCCCTTGCACACAGCCAGGCGTTGCCGGCCGATTTCCCTATCTTTCCCCCAGTGACGAACAGCGCACGTTGCCAGGAGGTGCCCGGGTTTGCAGCAGTCCCAGAGCACGTTTCCCAATGTCGGTAGCCGGGACCGTGGCCGTGCAGCTTGAACAGGTAGGTCAAAGGGCTGGCATTCAGTGAAAGCCGCTTATGATCCCTGCGACTTTTTTTTTTTTTTTGGTTGAATTACCTTTCCTCTTTTTCAAAGATTTCATTTTTCCCCCAATTCATGCTACTTTTCTATGAATGTATTTTTAAACAATTTTACCTGCAAGAAGAAATTCAGGAACAGTAACGTGAGCAAACCTCTCAGGATAGTCACTGAAAGCAAAACTCTGCGGTGTTTGCATGGGTTTCCACCGTTTTGGTGACGAGACCAAAACCACAGGAATTTCTATATCAACAAATTGTGTTTCATCTAGTGCAATGTCCAGTCTAACTAACCAGACAGAGATAGCTTTGCTGAGAACAGTATTTTTGGAGAAGGCATCTGTACCAAAGCAAATCCTCCCATCTCACTCAATTCTTTTTCTGTGAAAAGGAAAGAAATAACATGCGACAGATGCTGATCACTTTGCATAGGGCACTTCTGCAAGATACTCAGATACAGTGATGAAACGCATGGAATAAAAAGCTTTCCTTGTCAAAAGAAGCTAGAGGAAAGTCCTTTGCTATCATTTGACAGCAAGCAGCCCACAGCGGTTTCTTCCTAACTCTGGATTGTATTCTTAAGGCACAGGCCAACGGCTAAGGATTTTAATGGCTTATTGTTTTTAGTAGTACACAATTTTTAAAGGGCACACTCATTTTAATCAGAAAATAGAAACATATCAAGTATCTTAATGCATTCAGACTGGCTAATCAACACATCGACACAGCTAGGTTTTTGAATATCAAATACTTGACTTTGAGCTGCTCACGGACTGAAAAATTCATAAATCAAATATGCCTAATGATAGTAAACAGCAAATAATTTCAGGCAGCAAATGTATTTGAGAAACCCTCAATCTGTCCATAGGAAGATTGCAAACGATAAGAGACAACTTTGCATCTCCTTCTCTGGGAAATGATTTACCCCTGGGAAACCCCTGTTTGTCTCTGAGCAGTTGAGTAAAGCTCTCAAGAACCTGGGTCTGCTTCAGAGCATTCTCTTATCAGTAGTAGTAGTTGCCCTACAGCAACCTTTAGCAAAAAGTTTGCAGAAGCTATCATATTTGTTTTTAAAAAACCTTTATCACTATCTTCAATGTTGACGCAACCCATCAGGAAAAGAAACATCTGCTCCTGCAGTGGCTGGCTGATCTCTCAGACGAGCCACATGTATAGCAATAATAAAGCATTGCAAGGTTTTAAAATTAAATTTGCTATGAGATTGAAATTGGACAAATTTGAAGCAGTTGCTATAAAGCCATATACACCCAATTAACAGTTAGTCATCAGGCAGTGCAGCACAGTGATTTCAAAGCTTCAGGCCAGTTCCCTGGTTGCAAAAGAGCTGCAGGTGCCTGCCACCAGTCTCGTCCCACTCCCTAGCAGACCAGGACATGCTGCTCCAAGGGCCCGATTCAGGGGCTGCTGCAACAGCTCTCTTGGCTGTAGCGGTACCAGAGCACATGGACTTGTTGGGGGGAACAGCTGGAGGAGAATGTCTGGGAGCACAGCTCTGATTAAATGCAAATAAAGTGGAGGCACAATAACACAGTTTTAAATGCCTGAGCTTATCTTCCCACTTCTTTGTGAGGCTTGTAGTCCCAAGGCTAACCAAGACATGAGTTACAGCTGTCAGCCTCCTGTAATCTGGGGGAGATTTTGCATCCTCTCTGCTGTCTCTGCCTTTTCTACCAGCAGCCCCTTGGCTCCACGGTATGGGCGCCTCAGCCTCAGCCCCAGCCCCAGCCGCAGCCCTTCGGCATCTCAGTGGCCTTTGGCACAGGGCTGACTTACAAACACGGGGGTTATGCAGAGGCTGCTGCTTCTTGATAGGTGCCGTGTGAGTTCCCATCCTTTCCCCGGCTCCTACGCTCCCCCTCCTGCTGCTCTCCCATTTCAACCAACAGGGGAAAAGTCTTTTATCAGCCAAAACGCTGCTCCCCCAAACTTTGCCAGCTCTTTCCACTACTCCACAGAGGGATCGTCTGGGAGGAGGGGAGGCCAGGGCACCTTTTCCATAGGGCAGCTCAGCACCTGGGAATCCTTCTGGTGGCGTCCCCCGTCCATTAAGGACGGAGTTGTTAAAGCCAGTGCAGGCCACCGTGCCCCATATCCCTTTCT